ACACAAGCAGGGGGAGTGGCAGAGGGAGAAGCAGGCTTCCCACCAAGCAGGGAGCCAGAAGTGATTTTCGATCTCAGAACCCTGGGATCATGACCTGAGCCGAGGCAGCTGCCTAACAACTAAGCCACCCAGGAGCCCCCCAACTGAGCTTCTTTAAAAAGTGTATATTGAGGATTTAAAAAAAAAGATTTTATTTATTTATTTGACAGAGAGAGAGAAAAAGAGAGAGAGAGCACAAGGCAGAGGGAGAGGGAGAAACAGGCTCCCAGCTGAGCAGGGAGCCTGATGCGGGCTCAATCCCAGGACCCTGGAATCATGACCTGAATAGAAGGCAGACACTTAACCAACTGAGCCACCCTTGCCCCTCTGATTTGGGGCTTAACTGCAAAAGAAAACTGCATGCCAGCCCCTCGACAGGGAGTGTAATTTTGAACTGTCATTCAATGCCTGAAAAGAAGTTGTATTTCTGGAAGATTGCCTAAAGGATCTGTAGTTACCCATCCCTTTATATACCATATAACCTGAATCTATACTCCCCGGATTAAGGTTGTCAGATAAAACACAAGACATTAGTTGAATTCAAAGAATGAAATTTCATCTGAAATTAATCTGAAATTCACATTTAGCTGGGACTCTTGTGTTTTTATTTGCTAAATCTGGCTGCCCTACTCTGGTTAGTTATTGTGCTTTTATATGGTGATATTTGATTTTACGGAACTGCTAAAACAACTAGTCTGTGGGAAGGATGCCGTCTAGTTGATTGGTTAACATCACTTAATATGGAATCAACAAGCCATCTTCTGCTATCAGCCAGCTTTGTGACTATGAGTAATTCCATCAGGAAGAGATGTGCCTTTAATGCTGCTTCCCCACTGACCAAGACTGACAGAACTGTTTTTGATATGTGGACATAAATAATTTTACAACTGATTTTATTTTCCTCTTCAGTTAGTTACTTGGACACACAGAACCCAACTTGGGCTCTTTCTACAGCAAGTACATAGGATATAACAAGCAAGTTATAATAATCTCTTCCTTGTTTTTTTAGTATTTTATTTTTGAATGTATTTTAACCATCTATATTGTAAGCTGCTTTGTAATTTAACACTTACATTTTTCTGAACGTGCGCTGAGTATCTGACAGGGGCAGGGAGAGGAAAGGCTGTGGAGGCGTATGCAGGGTAATCAGGCACACTCCTTATTAACCCTATGGGGTTTGAATCCATTGAGGAAACCCAGAGGGATGAGGGAAAGACTTCACAGAACCCAGAGAGGGCTGGCCCCAGGGCAAACTCTGACTTTGCTGAGCTCTTTTTTCCCAAACCTACATACCACCTCCCAAGTCACTCAAGCTTCAGTTTCTGCAACTAAATCATGGGAGGATGGAGGAGAAGAGCTCTGAGGGCTTCCTCAGCTCCAAGAGGCTGATTCCAAGCGCATGCTCACAGAGCAGCTGCAGAACCACTAGAAGTCTGGCTTCTCAGGCCAGCACACCACCAAACTCTCCTGGTTTCTTCCTCTGTGCAGCGACGGTAACAGATGCTTCGCCTACCACATAAGGTAATGTGAATGGAATGAATTCAGCCAAAACCAGTGGGGTGTCTACTATAGGATCCTAGTAAAAATTCTGGTGAATTATAAAAAGACAAGGAATTGCCCTTTCTCAGATCAAATTTCCATGTGATAAAATGCAGATTGTTAATTTTGATGAGTCTTGACAATCACACATACCTGTGTAGTTGCCATCTCAAATCAGGTAGAAATATTTCCATCAGGGGTACCTGGGTGGCTCAGTCAGTTAAGCATCTGAGTCTAGATTTTGGCTTAGGTCATGATCTCCTGGGTCATGAGATCAGGCCCCAATGTCAGGCTCCTCACTCAGTGGGGAGTCTGCTTGAGATTCTCCCCCCCCACCCCTGCCCCGACTTGTATCCTTTCTTTCTCTCTCTCTCAAATAGAGGGATAAATAATAACTCTTTTAAAAAAGAAGTATTTCTATCACCTCCCAGGGAAGTTCCATCCTGCTGTTTTCCAGCCAATCCCTCTCCTTCCTTGGAGGCAAACAATGTTCCAATTTCTATCTCCATGGATTAGTTTTGTCAGATCTTGAAATTTCTATCAACAAAGTCAGCTCTGGGACTCCCTGCTTCCACACAGTGTAAAATTTTGGAGACGTATCCATGGTTCGCATGTGTCCATACTTCTTTCCTCTGTGTTACCGAGTTGTATTCCGTTGTGTGGCTGGACGCTGTTTAACCTCTCCCTTGGTGATGGATGTATGGGTTGTTTCACGTGGTACCTCTCGTGACTATAGAGACTGTGGACATTCTTGGGGACATGTGTTCTTACTTCTCGTGGCTCAATACCAAGGAGTGGTCTCTTTTTGAAAACTGTCAAACTGACAAACTAATTGTACCATTTTACGTTTCCTCAAGTATGAGACCGTTCTTGTTCTACCTCCTCACTGATGATTGGTACTGTCAAGTTTCTTTGAATTTTAGTTATTTCAATAGGTGTTAAAAGAATCTTACTGTGGTTTTAATTTGCAGTTGTCTGACGCTTAATGATGTTGAACTTTTTCATGCTCTTATTCACCAGGAAGATTCATGTATCACTCAGTGAAAGTAGAATCTTCTATACATTTAAAGATTGTGTTGCTTCTCTTCATGTTGTCGATGTGTGAAAATTTTTTATATATTCTGGATATGAATTATTTTTCAGATAGGTATAAGGTGACAATTTTCCCAGGTTTACCTTCTTACTTCTTCATTTTTTTAATGGCATCATTGATTAGCAGACATTTTTAATTTGGTAACATTCAATTGGTCATTTTTTTAAAGATTTTATTTATTTCTTTGACAGAGACAGGGACAGCAAGAGAGGGAATACAAGCAAGGGGAGTGGGAGAGGGAGAAGTAGGCTTCGCACTAAGCAGGAAGCCTGATGTGGGGCTCGATCCCAGGACTCCAGGATCATGACCTGAGCCGAAGGCAGATGCCTAAAGACTGAGCCATCCAGGTGCCCCACAATTGGTCAGTTTTTCTTATATGGTTAGTGTTTTCTGTGTCTTAGCTAAGTGTTGTTTTATTTGTTTGCTTGGTTTAACCTCGAGGTCTGGAGATATTTCTTCATGTATCTTTATGAAATATTCCAGTTTCCAGCTTTTCTATTTAAGTCTATGGTCCACTGTGAGTTGATGTTCGCATACAGAATGAGGTAAGGGTCAACGTTCTTTTTTTTTTTTTTCCTATAGAGATGCCCAATTGTTTCAGCAACACTTGTGGAAGACTTTTCTTTCTCTATTGAACTGACATGGTGCTCTGGTCAAAAATTATTAGGCTGTATATGTGTGGGTCTATTATTCTACTTTCTATTATTTTTCATTTATATGCTCATGCAAATATCACACTGTCAAGATTAGTATTTCCTTATTGTAAGTCTTCAAGTCAGGGTAAGTTCTCTAACTTTGTTCTTTATGCCCAACATTGTGCTGACTGTTCCAGATCATTTGCGTTTTCATGTATATTTTAAAACCAGTTTCTCAATTCCTTTGAAAATTCCTCCCGGGATTTGGATTGCATGAAATATACAGACTCTATAACCTATAGAGTCTAAAAATGTATAGACTCTATGAACTCCATGGTTTGTGCAGAATAAATATCTTAACAATGAATCTTCTAATCCATAAACATGGTATATCCCTCCATTTTTATCTCTTTCATGTCTCTTAGCAGTATTTTGTTGATTTCATGGTAGACATTTTATACACATTTTATAAGATTTATACTTTGATATTTGATTTTTTGTGGTATTGTAAATGGTATTTTTAACAAATTTCATTTTTCAAATTTCCATTACCAGCATATAAAATTATAATTGATTTTTGTATATTGAATTTTTATTCTACGATCTTGCTAAACTCATTTATGACTTCCAGCAGCTCTTTAGTAAATTTCGAAGGGCGAGCTACATAAAATTATGCCATCTATCAGAAAGAGTAGTTTTATCTTTTCCTTTACAATCCGTATGCCTTCTATTTTTATTTCTTTACTTTTCACAAAAAGACAATCCTTATCTTGTTCTCCACTTTATCAGATTAGGAATGTTCCTTTTGGTTTTCAGTATTCCAAGTGTTGTTAATGAAGGAAAAGCTGTTGGATTTTGTCAGATGCTTGTTCTTATTGCATTTATTGGGATAATTGTATGATCTTTCTCTTTTATTTTGTGATGAACTATTTTGACTGAAGAAAAGGGATGAAAATCACTGTCTCATTAAACCCTCTCACTGTCAGCCATTCTTCGGTTTTGTTGGAAAGATCCTACTACAGACCAATCTAAAAACTTTGAAACACATGTTCTCTTTTTGTCTTCTTTTCTTCTAAACAGTTAAAAAATCTCAATTGAACACTTCTGCTCCCTCTTTTTGACTTCCTAAAAGAGATTACCCCCCCCCCCCCGGTTCCCCAGGCCTAAACAGAAGTCCTCAGCACAGATCTGAGACTTGAGTGCCTCAGAGAATGGCCTCCTCCTCACTTTGGATGATCCCAGGGAGCCTTCTTGTGTTTGGGGGCCTCTTCCTTGGCCTCCTTCCCCTTAACCACAGGTGGTGCCCCTCTGCCCAGTGCAGGCTGTTTCCTCCCCAGCCTGACTCTGGTGCAAATCTCTCGGCGGCCTGTAGGGTGCGCAAGGAGCAGCACCGAGCGTCCGGGGGCTCTACAAGTCCCTTGGACACCGCCCACCGCCCGGGAGCTCCCGAAACTCGCCGCCGGCTGCTGGGACCACAGCCGATCTCGGCGCAAGGGCGAGGCGTGGGATTTTCCGGCTTCGTGCAGTAGCGCCCGCGATCAAGCGGCTCCCGAACTCAGAGGCGGAGCGCCCAGTGGAGGAGTCCATATACCCGGCACGCTGCGAGGGGCGCCCCAGACCAGGTGCACCCCAGAGCCAAAGCATCCGGAACCGGGCGTACCCCCCGCCCCATCCTAGGAACACCAGGAACTGGGAGGATTCCCGCCCCCGACCCTCACTGGGAGGAATCCCCGACGAGGAGCATCTCTGATTGGAGCATCCTAGACCCGGGACACTCCGCGGGACAGAACAGCGCCCCACTTAGCACTGCGGACACGGAGCTGCGTCCCACCCACAGCCTCCGCGGCTGCCAGACGCCTTTTCTTTCCTCTTACTCTCTGTTCCTTTTTTTTTTTTTTCTTTCTTTATTTCTTTCCCCAACCTTCTCTAGTTGCCTTACATCTTTAATCACACCTGTGGCTCCTCTCGTTCCTTTCCTGTTTCCCAGTCCCAGTGCTAGGGAGGCAGCGCACCGCAGTTTCTCACCTGCTTCTGGAACCCCGGCCTACGCCGTCGCGACCAGAGTGCAGGAGGGACGGCCGCCCCCGCCGCGGCCTCGCGGAACTCAGCTCTGAAGGTAAGGAGCCGCGCACCGCTGCCAGCCGCACCCCCTTCCCACTGCCCTCTGCCGCCAGCCCGCCAGGGAAGGGGCAAGAGGCGCCCCAGCCTCGGGGCAGGGCTTCTAAAAACAAGATCGGTTAAGAACGAGTGCCGTTATGTGTACAGATCTTCCTCCACTTCTGATGGTAGTTCTGAAAAACCCCGCCGAAGCTGGAAATAGCCTGTCACTGGAACATGCATTTAATACATCCAACCTCCTGAACAACACACTTAGCCCAGCTTACCTTGAAGGTGCTCAGAACACTTCCATCAGCCTACAGTTGGGCAAAAGCCTCTAACACGACGCCTAATTCATAATAAGGCGTCAATAATAATTGAATATCTTTAATTGGTGGACTAGTACACTGAAAGGGAGAAACAGAATGGTTGCTTGGGTACAGAGTGGTTGTAAGTGTATCTCTTGTTCACCCTCATGATCCCCACGGGGACTAGGAGTTGCAGCTGATGGGGATCATAGAACATATCACTAGCCTGGGAAAAAAATCCAAATTCAAAATCCAAGTATGGTTTCCACGAATGTGTATCTCTTTTGCACCATCACACAATCAAAAAAACCTAAGTGGAGCCATCATATGTAGGGGCTGTGTATATATATGTATACATGCAGATATGTATATACATCAGTATAGTTTTAAAAAATAGTAAGTGGGTGTGTGTGTGTGTATATATATATATATATATATATATATATATATATACTCAATATGTCTTAAATAGTAACTTATTGTTAAAAATATATACTTCTGATATATTAAATTTACTTTTAGGTATACAAATAAGTCCCCTAGATTAGTGTCTACCATGGTTGCATATTAGAATCACCTGGAGGATTTTTAGCAGTCAGGATGCTTAGACTGTACCTCAGCTGTCTGGCTGGGGACCAATGTGTTGTGGTGGTGGTGGTGATGGTGGTTGTTATTGTTATTTAAGTTCTAGGGGGTGATGAGTGCCCTAGCCTTCATATCAGTTGTTACAACATATTTTCTGAGATGTCATAATATTAGAAGTATTTCAAAGGTAAGATTAGGCAGATGTCACAGAGGATCAAATGATCACCTAAGACACCAAACTGTTTATACTTAATGAATTGAATGCATTCATCAATTTAGCAAATAATAAACAAACATAAAGTATGTCAGTTGGGGACAAGTGCTATGAATGGAAAAACAAAGCGCAGAGGAAGAGGAGAGAGTGGTGTGTGCGCTCATGCGTGGGCACGCACACGTGTTTACACACACACGCATGCACAGTGCACGTATTTGCTCCCAAGTGGTCATGCTGTTAGATCTCTGTAGAGCGCTTGCAGACAACCCGTACGTGATTAACTTATACTGTCAGCACACTGTAAAGGAATGGCAGGACTCTTTAATTAATTATAGAGAAGGAATTAGTAGCTCTTTGAGAAAAACAAGTTGAGTTAGACCTAGCTTCATACCAAACAAGAAAATTGTTAATGGGTAAAACAGTTCTAATGTAAAAAAACAAAAACCAAAAAAATCCCTAAGCCATAAAAATGAAGAAAGTATACCTTGAGTATGCATCTGACAACTGAGGGGAAAGGAATGTTCAACAATGGAAAAGTAATGGAAAAGTCACAAAGGAAAACATGGTGGGCTTGACTTTGTAAATGTAAAGTCTCCCAGATGTGAAAACAGAAAAGGAAGAATTTGAAAGTAAACTCAACAAATTAAAACAAAACAAAACAAAACACTAAAACATCTAAGAACTGGACCAAAGGCATAAAAAGATAGTTCATACACAAAGGAATAAAATAGCTAAAAACTATATGCTTAATATTCTCCCGTATTTATATCAGCAGAAATGCAGGTTTAAGAAAACCATGAGACATCATTACCAATTTGAAGAGTGAAGTACATTTAAAGAATGAGAATGCCCAATGCTTATATGGGTGTGGTAGATGTATATTATCTTCTACAACTAAGGAGTATGAATTATTACATTTCTGGAATGCAGTTTGGTAGTAGGTGTTTATCATGTTTAAAATGTATTCTCTATCCTATAAATTGTATTGCCATTGTCATAACACCAAGAAAATAATTAAAAAGGTAGATAAGTAACTAACATTGAAATGATATTTATGACACGTGGATACTTTGCGATAGTAATTCATGAAACCTTCACATCACTTCCAGGAGGAGGTATTGTTATTCTCTTTCCTGGATAAAGAAACTGAAGAGCAGGGAGGATAAGTGATTTGTCCAAAGTTAGTTCAGCTGGGAAAGAATAGGATGAGGATTCAAATCCAGCCAGTCTGGTGCCAGAGACTGTGCTCCCAAACCTCATCTGTACCGCCTAACACAAAAAGGTAGTCATAGGGATTATTTTGTAATAAAATATATCTTATAAATTATAATAGACACATACTGAGGGATATTGAGATCATTTTCTTCTTTTCAATCTTCATTTTATAATGTCCTATATTGGGCATTATACTACTTGAGAAATCAAAAACGATTTTTTAAAAAGAAAGAGAGAGAAAGAAAAGAAAGAAAAAAATTTAAAAATTATGGAAAGGCAAAAAAAATTCAATGTAAAACATAACACCAACCCCCCCAAATTCCTTCATGCAAGAAATTTAATATTTTTATTCTATGTATGTCTTATTAATACTAGGATATCTATGACATTTCTTAGAACAGTTTTTCTTTTGGAAATGAGTTCTATTATTTAATATCTTGATCTTTTAAATCTATAATAAGTACATTAAAATTTACGTATCTACACACACAGAGCAGTGCCATTATCAGCTAATTTGGGATCATAACATGTTTCATATTGAAACTCAGAGGTAACTCATCGGAATACTGAATTATTTCATAGAAACTTTATCTCTCAGCAGACCTTAAAAATTAACAGAAACCCAAACCAAGAAGAAAACAGCAGTGCCATTTACAAGGCTGTGTCAACCTTAACCAGAGGAAACAATACTTTTCTTTCTATCTGAGGTAAGAGAATGGATAGTTAATAATAAATGTGTGTATGTGTGTGGGGGTGGGGGGTTGATTTCAAACCATAGAACCATAGAGATCTAATTTGGTTTTGAACAGTTTGTGCTTTCCATATGTATTTAACTCTATGTCTTTATTGATTGTTATTTCTTGGAAATTACAGCAGCTGCTTTGTTATTCATTAAGATTGAATGAATAGCCTTAGCCACTAAACTTAGCCACTAAACTTCATTCAGGAATTGGGCATTAACAATCTTCCCCCCATCCCCCTCCTCCTCCTCCTTCTTTTTTAAATATGGGAGGTGAGTGGCAGTTGGTAACAGAATTATTTGGGACTGAGAGGTTACCATGCATCCAGAAAGCTTTTTGTTACTTAGCTCATCTAATGACTCAATAATTTTGATGATAGGCCTTCTTCCTCATCTCCATTTTGGTAATGAGCAGATAGGGTATATTTTATTACATTTGGTAATGAGAAGATAGGACCAATAATTTTGGTAATAGGCCTTCTTACTCATCTCCATTTTGGTAATGAGTAGATAAGATCTGAGACTTTAAGTAACTTGTCTAAGGTTACACCAGTGGTCAAGGCTCAAGCTGGAATGCCGACCCAGATTTGTGTGCCCCAGGAAGCAAGCTCTTCTGTCCACCTGGTGGAGTTTGGTGTGTACTACGCAAGGATCATGGGATTGTTTATGCAATATTCACACTAGTGTCAGAGACCCAATGCCCCCTTCCTCTCTAAATCTGTAATTCATAGGATAAAAGATGGATTGAGTAGGATTGAATTTCAACACATATTTGAGTTCATGGAGATTAGGCATTTGGAGCGTAGGAAACTCCTGTTTTGTCTCTCCATTTCCCTCAAATAAATACACACCCATACACCTATTCCTGTGTAACAAGTATTAATGCTTATTCTGTGCTAGGCATTGTTCTGGACTCTGGTGATACAGTAATGAACAAAATAGACTCAGTTCCTAACTTATAAAGAACTTAGTTCTGAAGAAGGGAGTTGGATATTTAAAAATCGAGCCACGAGTGACACCTGGGTGGCTCAGTCGGTTAAGCCGTTGCCTATGGCTCAGGTCATGATCCCAGGATCCTGGGATGGGGTACGGCATTGGGCTCCTTGCTCAGCAGGGAGCCCACTTCTCTCTCTGCCTCTGCCCGCCACTCTGCCTGCTTGTGTTCTCCTTCTCTGTCTCTCTGACAAATAAATAAATAATAAAATTTTTAAAAAAAATTCAAGCCACAGATGAAGATTATGATGAGCATTTTGGTATGATGAGAGAAAAAAGGACACACACACAGACACGCACATCTGTACATGGGCAGACCTGCCATACATATCTCAGTATACTGCAGACCGTCTATTCATAGAGCAGTAGATTTTCTGGAAATATTTTTGTCCTCACCTTTGACCTTCAAGGTAAGGTTTAGTAGACCAGGCTCAAAATACAGCAGACTCACTTGTATTAGAAAATTGCACACATGGGAATTTTTTCTGGATGCTGAAGTTAACATTACCTTGAAATTTTATGAATTCTATGTGGCTGAAAGTTCTGAGAATACTTGGTGAGTCTATAAAGAGATATGAAAACTTACTTCACTGATTTTTAAAAAGTCTGTGTGCCAGATTTTTAAAAATCTCCTTCATGAGACAGGTGTATGTTTGTTTGCAGATTTTGGCTGAACCTGTCTTATTCTGTTTTCCAGAGAAACCACTAGAAGCAGAATCTTCAAGATGCATCGCATAGAGCTACTCTTGACATTTCTGGTGTTTATGTTTACAAGTACCTCAGGTGAGTAAGCATAATCATTCACAAGCGTACTTAATGGGTAGTCTAGAGGGAATATCAAGGTTCACTTCTGTATGTGGAGGTGGCTATTGAGGATGCTGAATTTATTAAAATTAGTGGTTTTAGATTTTACTGTGAAAGTTGTCAACCCTTTGATGTCCCTGGCATAGAGAACAAAAAGTTCATAGGAAGGAAATCAAGTAAAGAATCCTGTGGGTTTAATGAAAAGGAAAAGATTTAGTTCTCTGAGTTTATGCAGAGAGAGCAGGATTGTATCTGGAAACAAATTACATTGGTCTGAGATGAAAATCTGCTTTATGTTATTTAAAACAGAAGAGTTCACAGCCATCTTTATTATTGACTTTTAGAAAGTTTTACACACATTCTTTTTCTTCCAACATGAAGGCCAAGATTCATCTCATTATTTAGGTAGTGAAGACAGTGAGTGGTAAATATTCCAGTTAGAAAGAGTACATAAGAAAGACTGCATAGACTGGGAAAAGCAAGTAGGATTTATATCAGGTGGCAGGTACAAGTTAAAACTGATTAGCAGTGATGGCTTGGAGACTTTTATCGAGAAGGATTCTGTGGGTTCATCAGGATTCTTTGGAGAAGAGATTCATGACTGATTAGCACGGTTCTCCCTATGCTTTGGAGGACCAGGTGGGAACACAAATACTGATTTGCCTCGTTCTGTTATCTAGGAGGGGGTAACACATGAGCCCATATCCCCTACTTTGAGAATTATTGCTGAAGAGATAGGGAATTTAAGTTATTGATACTTTCAAATAATTCCAGTCCCATATTTACTTAAGTGGGTCCATTTTTGTTGAGATCCAGATAATGCAATACTACCCAGATGTAAAAGGAAGGAGGTAGATGTGCTCCTCTTGATGCCAGATGACTAATCTGTTACAAACTGCAGAGTGAAAAAGCAAGATGCAAGAAAGCGTGCACCATGGGTACCTTGTTACATAGACATGCACTAATAACCTTGCTCCCAAGTTACGATGACACATGTTTCAGGTTCAAAAATAGTCACATAGCCCATTCTATAAGGCTACTAAGGTCCCAGCTCTTTGTCCTTTTAGGTGTCTGAAGAGCACCTTTCATAAAGGGTTGACTCTGGACAAATATGACAATATTCCACATGAGGATTAATTTAACCTAGTAGAAGTTGAATGACAATATCCCATGTGTTGTCCAAACTCTAGACATTTCCAAATACACCCATCCTTCCACACGGTCCAGGTTGTTGACCCTGTTGGATTCTTACTCTCTGTTCATGTAGGAATGGGAGGACCTGCTCTGGACAGTCCATACACTTTGAACTCCATTCATTTTTTTTTCAACCAAAAACCATTTATAATCTACAAAGCCTACAGTGTGAAGCTGAAGATTAGGTAGCAGAAGCCGTTAGCTGCTAGGGGAGCATGAACTTTCATCTCCAGCCATCTACCCCTGGAGAATCTGTAAGCCAGATTAGGTTTCTGCAAATGATAGGTCCTCCCTCAAAGAAATGGTGGGTGTGTCTATCACAACACAAGCACAGGTGTTTATAGAAGTGTTTGGGTTTTTTTAAGTGTGACCAAAACCTATAAATAACCCATATGTTCAACACCCATGGAATGGATAAATTGTCAAATATGAACACTACTGGATGTACTACCTATGAGGAAAGCACAAATCACTGCTTCATGCAGCAACACGGATGTCTATCGGAGACATGATGAGTACAGACTGTAGGATCTGTGTCCTCTGTTTTATGTATATCACATCCTTGAAACAGGAAAATAAATGAAATTGGTTTTGACTTGCCATCCTTTTGGATGTCAATTAAAACTAACACCAACACTCACACATGTATCACACCTTCTGTGTTGAAGTAGTGAAATGTAAGATGGAGTTTCTATAACAACCACCAAACTCAAGGTCGGTATACATTAACACTTGTACTTTGAGGTAAATTTGACATCCATGTTTTCAAAGAATGCTTCTATCATTTGAGCCACTTCCTCTTGACATTGTGGTTAACAGCATCGAGTTAAAACCAGACCGTTGCTTGAGAAATAGACCCTAACTGGAGAGGAGACATTTTCTCCATGCCCTCAGAGAAATGTTTTACTTAATTTAAGGATTCTCATTCTCAAAATTCAGTTAAAGGGCACCATGGGTGGGAAAGTAAATTGATGCAGCCACTGCAGAAAACTCTATGGAGGTTCCTCAAAAAATTACAAATAGTCCATACGATTCAGTAATTTCACTTCTGAGTATTTAAACAAAGGAAACAAAAACACTAATTTGAAAAGATACATGCATCCCTATGTTGACTGCAGTGTTATTTACAATGGACATCTATCCATTGATAGATGAATGGATGAAGACAGTGGTGGATATATATATATATACACACACATAATAAAATATTACTCAACCACAAAAAAGAGTAAGATCTTGCCATTTGGGACAACATGGATGGACCTAAAGTGTATTATGTTAAGTGAAATAAGTCAGAAAGAGAAAGACAAATACCATATAATTTTGCTTATATGTGGAATCTAAAAAATAAATGAATAAACCAACAAGCAAATGCAGACTCTTTAAAATACAGAGAACCAATTGGTGGTTGCCAGAAGGGAGGCAGGGGAGAGTAAAATACATAAAGGAGATTAAGAAGTAAATCTTCCAGTTATTATAATAAAATAAATAAATCATGGGGATGAAAATTATAGCATAGGCAGTATGGACAATAATTTTGTAATAACATTGTATGTGATAAAGGATGACGACATTGAATGATGGTTAACACCAAGTAATGTATAGAATTGTTGAATCAATATGTTGTACACCTGAAACTAATAACACTGGATGTTATTTATACTTGAATAAAATAAAAGGGCACGCTGGAGCCACTGGAGAGCAGGATATGGAAAGGGTCCATGAGGGCTGACTTTGAACTATCAGAAGTTCAAAACAAGGGGAATGATGGCTCTCTTAGCTGAAAGGATCAGATAACTTGCCAGAGTACCTGGGTTGATTGAGAAAGAGGGAGGGAGGAAGAGGGAAAGCTTGCAAGAGCACTCAAGGAGGGAATTAACAGATGCCTAGACTTGGAGTGATATTGTATTAATCAATTCTTGATGATTCATGTGGTAACTTGGAGAGATAATGGGCTCACACACACTCTGAGCTACACAGGAGCCCCTTAACCGTCCCCTGGGCTGCCCAGGGAATGGTCAGGTAAACTGATTGAAGGTACACTTCTGGTGAGCCAGGTGAGGAACTCTGAGGCCTCTAGATTTCTTGTTTTGATTTCCGTGCAGATGCCCCAGCTAGCGACATTTTGGGGGGGGGGTGTGGCAACACTGTGACCTCTGTGGCTTTCCTTAGGAGGAAGCTGTCATGTGTAACATTTTCTTTGAAAAGCTTTTACTGCATTCATCTGTCTTCTCGCTCTGGTAGGTTAGGTTTTGGTGATGTCCTGTTTGGAAAAAGTTGTTGGAAATTTTGTCTTCATTTATGCCCTGAGAGTGTCCTAGTGTTGGAAAGATTGACCTGTCTCTTAGTGTTGGAAAGATTGACCCTAAAATGAGAACTTACAAGACTGAGACATTGGGGTTGCTCAGGACTTCCTTACTCACCTGGCTTATTTGGCTCATCCATTAGGAAAGAAAAACATTCACCTTTGTCATTCTCATTTTTTTTTCCTTCTACTTTGCTAATCTTATGAAGAAACCTGTACTTTACGTTTTAACATCACCGCAGTCAGAGGGGAGCCTTTCTATCTGAAATATTGCTCATCAGCAGCTGAGCCCAAGAATGAAACAGCCGCCGTAAAATGGTACAAGAGTAGTGGATCCCACGGGCTCATTGAGCTAAACTCAAGCAGTTTTCCCAGAATTTCTCTGCACGATCATGTTTTGGAGTTTTGGCCAGTGGAACTGGAGGACAGTGGATCTTACTTTTTCCATATGGGGTGAGTATAGCTTCTCTTTGTGTCAGCATTGTTCATCGCACTCTTAGACTTAGGTCAGCAAATCAGATATACAACAATCCAAGAGGATAATCCGTGCATTTACTCTCCCCTGCCCTTCCTACACCATGCAATAAATACTTCATTATGGAAAAATCAAATTAAATATTTGCCCTTGTGTTTATCTGCTTAGTGATCTTAGTGAAAGAGGACCTTAATATTTCTTTTAGGGGATCCTAACCAAAGATAAGTGGGTGCCAAATGAAATTCATTTTAAAATTCAGCTGCTCCTATGGTGTAGAGTCACTGGTCAGATGGGATCAGTGAAGACTCCTTAAGGATCATGTGGTGAGGGGGGGCAACGTCAGCTTCCCAGGTGGTGTCCTCGGGCTCGGGCTCGGGGTCAGAAGGGGTGTAGACTCATCCCGAGCCAGTTTTCCAGGGTTTGTTGGGTATCCAGTGGTAGTGTGAGTAAAGGATGTGTGAGCCTTACAGCCCATCACAGACCTATAGCCAGGGGTAGTGAGAAAGAAGAGCACAGAAAAGGCTTTGCATGACCTTCATGGGACAGACCCCTGTAGTCTATGCCAGGATGCTCATAATCAAGAGTCCAGGAGTCATCAGTTCTATAAAATTAGAAAAACCAACTGAATGTTTCAGTGACTATCACTGAATTAGGTTTTCTCTATACTTTCTTTTGTAGGCTGGGAAGGAGCAACTGGGACAAGCAATGTTCTGTTGACGGATTATTGGTCTTGATTATAGAGATCTGAGGCTGAGATCTGAGATCTGATCTGGTAGAAGAGAGCTCAGGGCCAACTGAGGGAGTGGTGGTGGTGTGCTCTTGGATGTAGTAGATTTCTGGGGTGGGTCCCGATCGTTATCAACGGTGGTGTTGAGAGCAGAGTGAGGCATCCTGGTGAAACCTTGTTATCACTTGTGTGGTTTTGCATAAAATGAGGTCATTTGGGTTTGTTTCTGTACATAGGAACTCCCAGAAGTCAGAAAGAAATTCAAGAACTCTTTTCCTATTGTTTGTTTTGAACTGTTATGAATTTTACGTGTTCCCTGAAGAGGGACGATTCTAGAAGTAGGTCACAGCTGGGTGTTTTTGCACTAAGGTAGAATGAATACTCACAAATGGGGTTAAAAAAAGATCTCTGTAAGCTTGATCGAATAAAGGCATGATTTAAATGGAAGAAGTACCCCGGACAGGGCAGGAAGAACACATTGAGGGGAAGAAGAGCCAGTTATCCACAGAGGATGCTTGGAGACAGATAGGGACAAAAGCCATTAACTGCCTCTCTGATAGGGAGGGTGAAGAATATAGCCTGGGTTAGGAAGGCAAAGTGAAAGCATCAACTAGAAACAGGCTGCTGGAGAAGTGTGGAGATCTAGAAAGATGATCTGACAGGGCAGGAAAAGCAAGGTGGCTCGGTGGTTGTGTTGATGAACTTTGAAAGATGTTGGAGGCTGAGCAATAATGTGAGACTAAAGTGATGGAATGAGGAGAGCCTTGACAGTGGTTTTGAAAATCAATGGGTGGGGGGTGGGGGGGCGGCCCGTGGGTGGCTGAGTCTATTGAGCTGAGCATCTGCCTTTGGCTCCAGTCATGATCTTGGGGTCCTGGGATTGAGCCCCGCATCAGGCTCCCTGCGGCAGGGAGTCTGCTTCGCCCTCTCCCCTAGCTTGTGGTCACTCTCTCTCTCTTTTACTCACTCTCTCAAATAAATACATAAAGCTTTTAAAAAAAGAAAAAGAGAAAATCAATGGGAACCTATTGAAGATGGGGATTTCTTTAAATTTGGGACACCTGTGTGTGTGTGCACATGTGTGCATGTGTACACAGATTTAGATTAAGTCTTTCTAATATCACATGGAATCTGTCGAAGACCAGATTCCAACCCTGGAATCCCTCCATTAGAACCATAATCCTTTTGTTTTTTGGGAATCTTCAGCTCATAATCAAAGGTCCCTGGAGACTGATAGGTGAATTGTGAAGTCAGATCAAATTTAAGGAGGAAATCCACCAAGAACGGAGGGGATGCAGGAGAGGGGGTTTTTGATGCTTGAGGGAAGGGCATGAAGATAGAGGGAAAAGCACATGCAGAAGTCTCACAATCACATTCTAGATTGGCTTAGTAAGGGGCCTCCCAAGAATGCTAGAGCTTTACAAATCCCCTCTTGTGTGGCAGGAGTGGCTCCTGTGACCAGGAATGGATGGCCTTGTAAGGGAACAGGAATGGTCACAGCTTTGGGGCAGTTGGCCTCAGCGTCACACTGACCTTCAAGCTCCCTGAGCAAGGATGGTCGGTGTCCCCTTGTTTCCTCATTCCCAGTGCGGTGGCTGGGACATGGAGGCATTCTGCCAGTCAGTACTTACTGGGTGTTAGGAATTGGGGACTGCAGAGGTAGAGAACAATATGGCCCAATAAGTTGGAAATATGCATATACTCTCTTCCTCAGAAGCAACAGGACAGAAAGATTTAGAAATAAATCTCTGTCTAGCTCAGCAGGGCTGAAGTTGGGAAAACATTAGACATATTTGAGAAGAGGATGATGTCAATGGGATTCTGAATCCTTTCCAAGGGCCAGGTAGCTCTATTGTATTCCATGGCCTTTGACCTACTGCCTTTAACCTTTAGGACAGCTTGTCAATGCACTCGTCACTTCTCGCCCAGCCCTGACCACTCTTGAATGAATGCACACCCAAGGGAAGGGCCAGACCCACCTTGACTGTGAGAACATTGTATTGGGCAGCGCAGGCCTGGCCTTCAGCGCCAAACCGAATTGTGTTGCATCCTGACCTTGCTGCTTACTGGTGTGGGAACTTGGGCCAGGTACTCAGCTTTAAGTGAAGCTTAGCTTTCTTATTTAGCATAAGAGAAATCGTCATCCCCATTGCACATGCACAGTACAATGCCTGGAGCTCAGGGAGCGCTAGTCTTCCTTCCATGCTCCTGTAGACCTAGAGGGGGACTGCAAGGGCCTGTGGTGGGTACAGAAGGCACAGAGGACAACTTAACACACGTCTTTGTATTTAGTATGGGGATCTATATGTCATATATGTAGCTTCAACAAACTTTAGGTTGCAAACATTTCCTTGTTTAGAAGCTCCTTTTTAAAAACTGTGTTAAAGTTGTTTCATCTTCCAGATTACTAATTTCTAATCAGAAGGAACAACATCAATGAAATCTACTCAAACTAATGTTTGCTTAGTAGAATGCTAATATAGCTATGCAGTCACTCCAGACTTGGCTTTAATCAACAGTAAGAGAAGAGGATTGGAAGAAGCCACCCAGAGAAATATAAAACCCAGTGCATTTATACAGACTTCCAGAAAACAAGTTCAGGAGTCTGTTTGTGGACCTCATCAACCCACTGCTACTGTCCCATTCTGAGTTGAGAATCTTTGGACTTGTCCATCTCTAAAGATCATTGAAGTTTTAGACATTTCTGTTCAGACACCCATAATATATGCTCTGTATAGGGTGAGTGTGTTTGTGTGTGTAGAACTGCTCAGGTTTTTCTCTTTCACTGCCCTTTAGCCTTGTCCCCTGACAATTGTTAAATTTCTTGCTGCACTTAAACAAAATGGGACACAGCAGGGTCTGGGCATCAGTGAATGAGCCTCTTAATATGAAAATAAGGTGGGTGGATTGGTCACTAAAAGGTCGTATTTGCAAAGTCTCTGTACTAATCATAAAATATCTTTAAACCTTTATTTCATAGAAATAATACACGTGAATGGAAATTAAATGTCATTGGAAAAAGTAAACACAGATGTTTTGCTGAAAAACTACTAATTAGTAAATCTGTGGAAGTTCAGAAATCTTTGCACGTCGAATGTATAAATATACACTATCAAAAACTGGCCAACAGAACATCACTGTATAAGGTAGCCCTTTTAAAGTATTTTAACTTAAGGGGCAACTGGGTGGCTCAGTGGTTTAAGTGTATGACTCTTGATTTCAGCTCAAGTCATGATCTCAGGGACATGAGATTGAGCCCAATGTCAGGCTCTGGGCTCAACCAAGAGTCTTCTTGAGATTCTCCTCTCCCTTTGCCCCTCCCCACCACGGTCTCCCTCTCAATCTCTCTTAAATAAATGAGTCTTTAAAAAATATTTTATCTTGGGGCACCTGGGTGGCTCAGTGGGTTAAAGCCTCTGCCTTCGGCTCAGGTCATGATCTCAGGGTCCTGGGATCGAATCCCACATCGGGCTCTCTGCTCGGCAGGGAGCCTGCTTCTCTCTCTCTCTCTCTCTCTCTCTCTCTCTGCCTGCCTCTCTGTCTACTTGTGATCTCTGTCAAATAAATAAATAAAATCTTTTAAAAAATATTTTAACTTAAGACTTGAGGAAAAAAAGACAAAAATCCAAAATGAGAATCTCTTGGCTGTGGACATCCTTGTGTTGTCCACATACAAGCTACTTGACCCCTCGACAGCTCAGCCAGCCCATCTGAGCAAGGTGCTCCCAACAGGGTTGCTCAGATGAGCTCCTGCCCCATGTTATGTGTTCAGTAAATGGTAACAGCTTCCTCTTCCTTGCCCCTCCTTCATTTTCCTTCTCTTTTGATAAATTTCTAAGAATGCTAGCTTATGGATTTTCATTTTCTTCTGCCACATATATTTAAGATTTTAAATTCTATTGTATATGTACTTTTTTTCTAAACATACGAGTTCCTTTTATAAAAATGGAAGATGGAAAAATGCACAGTGAAGAGAGCAGAGCTCACTCAGAGTTCCACGAGCCAGAGACTTTGGGATGTGTGTATGTGTTTTATGTGTGTGTGTGTGTGTGTGTGTGTGTATGTGAGAACATCTATTTTTTAAAAGTGGTAATTATAAAATATTTTTAAAAATAAAAATGGTATTTTTAATGGCTTATATTTTTCCTCTAGTCATTAAAAATGATACGGTAATTATTCCCCTACATCTTTAAACAGCCTTCCAAACATGGGATTCTGTTGTTTCTTACACTTGTGTTTAACTATTCCCGTGGTATTGGGCATTTGTTAGTTTCCTACTTTTCACTATTATTTACAAGGCTAAAATAAATATCATTCTCATAAGTCTTAGGGTGTATGTATAATTTTATTCTTCAATCTCATCCTTAAAGTAGAATTATTGGCTCAAAGGCTATGAGTACATTTATGGCTTTTGCTCCACATTATTAAACAACTCTCTGGGGAGCTATGCTAGTTCAAAACCCTCTTTTTCAACCACCACCACACACTGTGAAATCTGATATGCACAGTTTCTGTAATTTTTAGTAGTTTTTTCCCCATTTCTTTTCTTAATAATGAATTGAACATTTTTATATATTTATTACACCTTAGTATTACTTCTTTTGTGGATTATCTATTTTCTTCAGCTGGTGTACCTTTTACTTGAATTATAAGAGCTCTTTTAGACAATACTATGGAGATTATATATACATTCACAAATATATCTTATATAAACTTATACACATATATAATTCATTTACATATATAACATACATACATGCAGACATCCAACACAAATTATATTATTTCTCTAGAAGAACAAACCGGACAAATGTAACTCTGTTACAGAAATTTTAAAGAATTCTATGGGAGAATGAGCCAGACAGAAGCCCTTCAGAGAGTTGAAGCTACAGATGACTTCCTAGAAAACTTTGTTTGCATATTTTGGTTCACCACTGTTTACTAGAGATTTTTGAAGGAGAGCTCTTAGCCAAATGTTTTCTAAATGTCTGAGTCAGTCCTGAGTTGACTTGACTCTATTTCCTGTCAAAAGTGCAAATATTTGACAGTACATATAAATTTGTGAGTTTCAGTGTACTAGGTTTCAAGAAATCTCAACATGTGGATATTTAAATTTAGAAAATAGATCTGTTGAGGATATTTCTAGCTAGATGATTAAACACAGGGCTTGGTATTCTCAGCCTATTTACAGATCATGGCCTGCCTGAGGGGAGGAGAGCAAGGAAGCTAAATCAGAAAACAAATGATTGGAAATAAAAGTGAAGAGTCTTTGATATTTTAATGTGCCTTATTAAAAACCGTTTGGGGTCATAAAAGTTTGACATGCACAGAAACAATTTATTGAAGTGAGAACACATGTGAATCCTTCACAAACCCATGCTAAGCACCCTCAGGGCCTAGCCCCAGTTGCTGCCAGCTTTGGTACCTTCAAGAGAGGTCTATGGGCAGTACATTCTCCTTGTTTGCTGTTTGCAGAAATGGTATAGCATAGTCAAGTTAGCAGTTTAGTTTCCATATTCTGTATCTGAATCTTAGATCGCTTCAGAACCTCTTCTATGGGTGGCTGATGGCTAGATTGAAGAAGGTGGCTATTTTATCATTCCTTCTTGTGACCTGTATGGAAATTTGTGATGGAGAGACATGTTTGTGTGTGCCTATGGATTCACATATTCTTGATAAATTTCTAATCAGCCCACTGACTTCTGGTGGAAGACATCAAGGGGGTGGGTGGTCTTCTAGGTACTCAGGTATGCATGTAATTCTGCTCCCACCCCCAGGACGGGTAGTCCTGAGTATATGGACTTAGACTAAAAGTGTTACAAAATAGAGTTGTACAAAAGTTTACATAAAAGCAGGGATTTTTTTGTTGTAATGCACATGCACTCTTTCTCTCTCTCCTCCTTTACCTCCATCCTTCCTCCCGTCTCCCTGTCCCTTTCTTTTTACCCTTCCCACCCTTTGTGTGTAAAAGAGAGAAATTAAAACAAAATGATAAGAGCAGCTACAGCACCCCCCTATATTCTGTTTCCCAGCATGTATTAATAACAATGATAATAACAGTAATGGGACTATGTATCATCATTGTCACAGAAGCAATCCTAAAGCACTGGGACACTGACTCAGAAATTGCCAGCTTTCATTCTGTTTCCCCTTTTTAATAAAAACCTTTTAAAATTTTGAATCAATGTTATATGATACTGCTTTTACTTAAAATATTTTAACTTGCTTTTTCTTCTTCTTTTTTATAAAACAGAACTGTCAAGAGATAGAAAACAATAAAAACACAGTTTTACAGAAGAATGCAGAGTTTGAAGATCAAGGATATTACACTTGTGTGTATTTCATTCCTCATAATGGAAAACTATTTCATGTCACCAAAACCTACAATATAACAGTAGTTGGAGGTAAGAGAAGTTTGAGAATTAGAAAGAAACAAACACATCTTTGTAAAACTGAGTTTTCATTGTCATGTAGCACAGGAATCCAGAGGCAACTTACTTGGAGTTGTGACCACATCACTAGCTCAAATATAAGGGTCAAATCACTGGGGCATCATTTACTGCACTGGAAAGATTTTTTTTTTGGCTTGGCGGGGTCGGTGGTAGTAAATGACCTTTATATATGTGAGCCTCCCGTGAACCAATGCTCTTATTTCATGGAGGAATTTGTGGAATCTCTTGTGGTTTAGGATACGCTTTCGCCCAACAGATATTCATCAAAGTGTCTATATTCAATAAACTGTACTGAGCATCAAGGTAAAGGAGGCAGGGAAATAGGAAATGAAGAGGAATTTGATTATAGGCAGGAGAGTTGGTAAACCACGTAGGAGTGCCCTCACTTATGAAACCAGATTCATCTGTGAGGTGTTAAGGATTCAGAGAGAGTCAGAGGAAGATCAGAGTCAGGGGACTCTGAGCTGAGTTTAGAGGTTGACCCTGACAGGTGGGCAGGAGGACCTGCTGAGGACAGTGTGCTCTGGGTTTTCAATGGTACACTTCAAGTTTTAGTGGATGGCATACCGTCTTAAAGATACCCTTTTATACCACCTCTCCCCCAGGGCTCCTACTGACATTCCTGGGGGGGAAGGTGGGGCGGCAAAAGACAGATCTAGAAAAAGATAAGCAACAGCAATTTTCCATAAAACCACCCCTTTGTCCTTGAGTCAACTCATGTCCATCAGTATTCTCAAGACTTGAGAGTTCCTTCTTTCTCTGGAGGCATCGAGGTCCTCCTGTCTCCCATGTCGGTATTCCATGCTTGCCCAGAGAGTCTGAATCCCAGAAGAATCAAACCTGACTCGCCTGGAGTTTCAACTTTGCGAGTTTCATCCTCCAGATTTACCCACACACTCACCAATCCGTTCTCTACCCTTCATTCTGTAGCACCACACTTCCTAACCAGGGTGCTGGTTTAGGAGAGCTCCCCAGTCTCCCATCACTCCTTGTGCACAGGCTTTGTGTTTGCTGAGCACCAGTAAGTCCCAGGAGTTTGCTGAGCACCAGTAATGACTGCTCTGTACATTACTTGTAAATGCCCCAGAAGCACCAGCTGTACCAAAAGGTAGAGTCTAAGTCATGAAGAAAGTTGCCAGTGCTGATCATTGGACTAACAAGAACTTGACAACACAGCAGGTTCAATGTGTGCTCTCAGTGTTCTACAGTTACGAGCTGCCCTCAGTTTTCTATGACAGCATTCAGAAGGAGGCTGAGGCAGACAGAATTGGGTTCCTCTAGTCAGGGTCAGAAGTCATTCAGGAATAGAAGCAGAGCTGAGCCCAGAGGTGTGGACACCCCCACAGGGCCAGCCAGCACTGAGTCAAGGGAGGCATCCAGAACACAAATATGAAAGGGTGCTCCCCTGAGTGCCTGAGCAGGAAGGGTTGACACCTGAGAATGAGTGCTTTGCCTACCTCAAGGAGTAGAGACCCTGTCCCCAGTACACCTGTCTGAGGAGTTGAGGGGGTGGGGGGCGACTGGAGGAATAAAGGCAGAGCAGAAAGGCAGTTCCATGAGACTTGACATCTAAGTCCTGCAGGTGAGTTGTCCGCCAGGACGAACATCTTCCTCTGGCTTTTAGTTGCCAAAACCACAGATTTGAGCTGAGGGAAACCCAATTCAGGATGTTTTCTCCCATTACGTTAGCTTTGAGTTGATGGAAATGCAAATGACAAACACTGTTAGCCGCAACCATTAGTTACTGAAAATATGACAGAAGTGTAAAGTGATGACTATTAGAATCTTTGTTACATGGGGTCACATTATCCTCCTGCAAATACTTGTCTTAGAGGAGCTCAGTGCAATGCTGACACATTCCTCTTTTCTTCTTTCACTTTTAGATCGCAGCAAAATAATTCCTGTTCTTCTTGGACCAAAGCTGAACTATGTGAAGGTGGAATTAGGTATATTTTGACATACATATAGTCTGCATTTCGGAATGGGGGTATCACTGAGTCTTCCAAGGCTAAATCTGACTCATGATCAATCCAATTGCATGTGCCTCACGCATGCCAGGTATAGTGAAGAACATTACAAAGGGAAGAAAAGCCCGTCATTGTTTGAATGTTGCCATTTTTTGGCTGATGAAAATGAACAGTCTGTTGAAAACATGATAGAACCATTGTGGTTTTTAGATAGGGTTTTGGTCGCCCTACGGTGGCTTTTCTCTAATAGTCTTTACGGTCACTTTTAAATATGAAACTGTGAGAGAACGCTTTGGAGGAATGATTCAGACTTGTTCTGTGGTCTGAACATTTGATTGATGAATCAATGGGCTTTGAATCATTGGACTTAGTTGACTGTACATTTAAGATTTGTCTAGACAGGGCTTAATGAAATCAATGTGTCCAGGTGCGTAATTCCTTTCCAAAAAGGAAAGAAGGAAGGTAAAGAAGAAATTCCCATATGCTAAACCATGTTTTGTATAAGATGGTTGAAATATATTCCTGAATTACATCCTCCAAACAACTCCAAGTGGTATTATTCCCATCTGGTGGATTAAATGACCAAAGCCCAGAAGGGTTCAGTAATTTATCTAAAGTTAAGCCAGTAAAAAGTGGCAAAGCTGGGATTCAAGTTGCTGTTAACTATTTCCTAAGCTCACATCTTAGGACCAACACCTGCCACAATCGTTTGTGGGACTGGATCTGCCCAGCGTCGCTTGGATAGTTTGCCATTTGCAACTGTGGTTTGCCTGCGTTTTATTATTTCCAAACTTAGCTCTATTATTTCTTTCTTCTCGTTTTGGGCTTAATTTGCACCTCATTTTTGGAGACAGATTCAGTTATTCTCTCTTGCAGCACATGCATTTTAAGCTCCAAAGTTCCCTCTAATCACGACTTGAGCTGTTTCCAAGAAATACACATATGCTGTATTTTCATTACTATTTGGTTCAAACATTAAAAAAAAAAACAACTTCCCTTGTGATTTCTTCTTTATTCTATTGATTATTTGTGGTTCTTACTTTCCAGATCTTTGGAGGATTTTCTAGTTGTTTTGTTGTTGTGGCTGATATTGATATTGATATCCAGTTAAGTTACATTCTGGTCCAAGATTAGACACTGTATCATTTCAGTCTTATGAAGTTTGTAGTAACTTGCTTCAGGACCAGAATGTGGTGTGTCTTGATGAATGTTCCAAATACATGTAAAACAAATAGGCATTCTGCATGTTTTGGTTTTATCATTCCATAAATATCACTTATGTGAAGTTAGCCAATGGTATTGTTCAAATCATCTCTCTCTATATATTTTTTAAAAGATTTTATTTATTTATTTATTTATTTAACAGACAGAGATCACAAGTAGGCAGAGAGGCAGGCAGAGAGAGAGGGAGAAGCAGGCTTTCCGCTGAGCAGAGAGCCCGATGGGGGGCTCGATCCCAGGGCCCTGGGATCATGACCTGAGCCGAAGGCAGAGGCTTTAACCCACTGAGCCACCCAAGCGCCCCTAGATCATCTATATTTTAACCAAGTTTTGTGTGTTTTCTTTATCTGTTACCAAGAGATGTTAACATCTCCAACTGCGATAGTCAATTTATCGCTGTATCCTTTAGGTCCATCAACCGTTTCTTTGTATATGCTGAGGTTACCTTATGGGCACATGCAAATTGATGCCTGTTGAACTGATACTTCATCATTATCAAATTTCTCTCTTCATCTATCATGCTTCTTTCCCGAGTGCCTACTTTCTCGGATAATAGACATACCAGTTTTCTTTTGTTTGAGGTTGGCAGGCTCTATCTTTTTTACATCCTTTTGCTTTTAACATCTCTTTGTAAATCAAATGCACATTAAATGTGTTTCACATAAGCAGTATATCATTGGATCTTTTTTTGAAACCCTGTCTGTATAGTGTGTCATCCATTTACGTTTCATGAACTACCCATGGAGGTGGTGTGCAACCTCTCCTCTCGCTACCTGTGTTTTAGTTAGCTTATGTGTCCTTCCTTCCTGCTGTTCCTCCCTTCCTTTTGGATTCATAAAGTATTTTTCTTTCCTTTATTTAATCTGCTTTATTTTCTTTTTAGTTACACTTTATTATCCTTCCTTAGTAGGTCTAGAGATTACAATGTGTATCCTTGTCTGACTGCAACAGACAGACGTAATCTCAGCACATTTATAACTTCATAACATGCAAGGACCTTGCAAACGGTTCATTGCATTTGTCCCTCCTATCTCCCATTATGCTGTTACATATTTCTCTCCAGCATATGTGCTAAAACTCATAATAGATCAGCATTAATCGTGTTTTAAGTAATCCTCAGTCTTTTATATTTATGCAAATATTTGTATTTCCTCTTGACCTCATTTGTGCCTGTAGTTCCTTGCTTTCCTCTGGGATAATTTTTCAGGAGTCTGAAAACTTCCTTCGGGATTTCTCCAAGTGTGGTTATGTGGGGGTGGGGGAGGGGCATGGGACCTCAGTCCTGTGTTTCTTGTACATCACTTCCTCTATGGGGAACTTTCTCTTCTAAGTTTTAAGAGACCGCAGGAGAAACCATTCAGCTTTTGCAGCCTCCCCAGCAGGCATCCTACAAGCCTATGTGACTATTAGAAATTCCACTGGGCTCTCTTTTCTCTATGAGATTCCCTCCACACTGTACAAACCAAAACAAATTTCTCCCAAGAATAAGATGGCTGGCTATCTCAGCTCCCTGCAGAAGGGCTTTTTCCTGACTGCGTTTCCAGCTGTTCTGTTTCTCTTTGTTTTCTCTGCACGCGGAGGTCTTTAATTTTTAGCTAATTTCATTTTTTTTACATGTGATTTATCCATTTTGTTTTTCTAGAAATTGCCATGGGAGTGTTGGTCTGACACTCCCTCCTAAATTAATTGTATGTTGAAAAGAAAGTCCACTGGCTACTCTCATTTTTAATAATTGACTTAAATATAAACATTTGAAAAGAAACCAATTCATATTTTGGTGGTGACTTATAATTGCTACTAATTTCTCTGCTTTATAAATTTTTTAAAAATTTATTTATTTTTTATTTTTTTCAGTGTTCCAGGATTCATTTTTTTGCACCACACCCAGTGCTCCATGCAATATGTGCCCTCCATAATACCCACCACCAGGCTCACCCAACCCCCCCGCCCCCGCCCCTCCAAAGCCCTCAGTTTGTTTCTCAGAGTCCATAGTCTCTCATGGTTCATCTCCTCCTCCAATTTCCCCCAGTTCACTTCTCCTTTCCAACTCCCAGTGTCCTTCATGTTATTCCTTATGCTCCACAAGTAAGTGAAACCATGTGATAATTGACTCTCTCTGCTTGACTTATTTCACTCAGCATAATCTCCTCCAGTCCCACACATGTTGATACAGAAGTTGGGTTTTCATCCTTTCTGATGGAGGCATGATATTCCATTGTATATATGGGCCACATCTTTATCTATTCATCTGTTGAAGGTCATCTTGGCTCTTTCCACACTTTGATGATGCTGGCCATTGCTGCTATGAACATTGGGGTACAGATGGTCTTTCTTTTCACTACATCTGTATCATTTTTTAAAATTTAAAAACAAGGCTTAGCTGTTCTGTTTCTGGAATGTAGCACTGTATTAGCTTTATATATTAAGTTAACATATATTGATTATATTCATTTTAAACCTTTGGGAAATCTGAGTTTCTAAGATCAGAACATTGGTTGTCAACTTTCACATAGGAAAAGACGTAGAACTCAACTGCTCTGCTTTGGTAAATGAAAAGGATGCTTTTTATTGGAATGTGTGGGAAGAAAATGGAAAGGAACCTAATGTACATGAAGAGAACATAACAAGAATTAGGTATGTATATGTGATGTATTATTTATCACTACATATACAAATCACATTGTGTTGTAGATACATGATGTAAAAACATCAGCATGCTGGGCATCTGGGCTCTTTCCATAGTTTGGTTATTGTGGACATTGCTGCATAAACATTGGGGTGCAGGTGCCCCTTTGAATCAGTATGTTTGAACCCTTTGGGCAAATACCTGTAGCGCAATTGCAAAGGCAAAAAGCAAACACAAAACCCAGAATCCTGAGTGGCTGATTGGATATGGCTGATGTTTACATTTTAATTATAATTTACATATTTTATACTTTCAGCATGCTGTAGGTTGATGGATTATGCAGAAATCTAATGCCAAGATCTAAGCTAGAAAAAGAAGTTTGGTGAGGCTGTTTCACATCAGCTTACAAAAGTAGCTTTTGGTCAGTCAGGATATGTTGGGGATGGGGATTTTACTTAAGCATCTGATAAAGTTAGTACTCATATAAGAGACTCCAAACTTGTCAGATGTAAGTTTTGTCTCAAGGAAACGCTAATGTCCCGATCACCTACACTGTGGCATTCATTGTTGGCAGATTGACATCGAACATAGTTATTACTGTAACATTTTGCTGTCAAGAGTCCATTAACGGAAATTAGAAACACAATAAGAACAGGTAAAAGAAATTAAAAAAATAAACCAAGAGGACATTGTTAGATATAAATATCTAGGAGGTAGCTTTGGTTCAAACAGTTTCAAATCGTTGTGTATTAGTATTACCATTGCCTATGTTCTTCCAGGAAGGAATGGTCACTCTTTTTTTTTTTTTTTGTTATTTTATTTATTTATTTTTTTTAATAATTTTATTTTTTATAAACATATATATATATATATTTTTCCCCAGGGGTACAGGTCTGTGAATCTCCACGTTTACACACTTCACAGCACTCACCATAGCACATACCCTACCCAATGTCCATAACCCCCCCCCAACACCCCTCTGCAGGAATGGTCACTCTTATTAAAACAAAGCATGCTCAGCCTGTGGTCATTTAAGTGTTTCTGAATGACTTCGGGTCATTACTCTACTTAATAATGTATTGATACACTCAGGTTTTAGTGAGTAGTGATCCCAAGGTGTCTGTCACCTTGGCTGCAATCTTGAGGTTTTTTTCCTGCCTTTTACACTTCAGAATTTTCTTTGTCATCATGCCGGCAGCTCTCAATTCTTGCTGACACTTGTTGGTGAGTTCCTAACATTGTCAGGTGTGTGGCCTCACCCGACAGCAGACGTGTAAACATGGGTCCCGCTGAATGGCATGGGCGCCTTGCCACTGTGTCTTCTCCTCAGCATCGGACCCTCACTGGAGTTCTGCAGTCCCCCTTCTAGTGATCTATCGCTAATCTTTGGAGGGATAGAAGACCAACTCACCAAACTTTTTGAAATGGAGCTTAAGCTAAGCTAGGGGAGCCAGGTAGTCTTTCTTGAGAGAGTTAGGTGATGAGCTTTATTCTGCCGCTGGCCTTTTGTGCCTTACTTTCGGGGTCTTTCACTGATGTTAGATAGTTGATATTCCTGGATTGGTGACTTCTGCACAGAAGTATGTTCTAACCTGTGTTTGAGACCGTTGAAGCTAAGGTGGGTTCCGTGTCCCGTGTACTGGAAACACCTGCTGCTAGGGGATGGCAGGTGAGTGAGCCACCTGGGGAGGGCTTTCCCAAGTTGTCATTGGCAGGGAAGCAGATATCATGAGCTGTTACCTCGGATCAACGACAGCACAACGTGGATCTTTTGAGAAGAGAAAGACAACTTTCTGCTGGTGTTTGTCTGAGTCATTTTCTGACACCTCCTGAACAGCTTAATTGGTATTTCTCACATGCCTGTGGGTGCATCTGAGGATAGTTTCATTCTTTTTTAATTTTTTTAAAGATTTATTTATTTGAGAGAGAGAGAGAGCATGCAAGGAGGGGAAGGGCAGACGGAAAGGGAAGGAATCTCAAGCAGGCTCCACACTGAGCTCAGAGCCTGACACAAGGCTCTATCCCAGAACCCTGAGATCATGACCTGAGCCGAAGTCAAGAGGCAGACACTTAACTGACTGAGCCACCCAGGGGCCCCAAATAGTGTCATTCTTAAGTTTATTTTCAATGCTGAACAAAATAAAAGTGATCTTTAGGATCGCATGGAGAAATGTGATAGGAATCTGTATTTATGCCAAACCATTTGCCGCCTTGTCACAATCCATGGAGACCTCCCTGTGGGAGGAACGCTAAGTGGTTAGGAGAAGAGAAGGAGGGGAAATAGTTGAGAGACTATTTTCTTGTGTTTTCAACTCAGCATCATTACCTTCTAGCATATTCATTCTGGACAGTGCACGGTGTCGTTCCCTAGGTGATCTCAGGAGGGCTGTTTCTGTTTGCCCTGACACTCTCCGGAGGAGTCAAGGTTCATGGTTGCCCACACCCTGAGTCCCCATCAGAAAAGGAAGGTTCCATGGAGCCAACAGATCCACTGCTTTTGAGTATTTTCACATGAGAACTCCACTCTCGTGGGTATTGTTGCTGGCAATGACCAAAGCCTATCACAGAATCATTTCCTCTTTTACAGGACTCCAGATGGCAAATTGTATGCATCAAGAATATTGAGAATTGAGAATATTAATGAAAAAAATCTAAACTTTTCATATAATTGTTCTGTGGCCAGCGAGGGAGGCACAGACATTATAAGCTTTGTCTTGTTGAAAAAAGGTATGGGAAAGTTTTGTCGTGGAAGCTTGTGGAAGCTTAGAATATTGCAGCTGAGAGACCCCTTGAAGATCGCCACTCTCTCCTTTTACACCCCAGGAAGCAAGCTCCCAAGAGATAAAATGGTCTACCTTGTGTCACAGGCATTTAGGCTAACCTGGGGCTCAGTCCCCTGCTGGAGTCCCCTGTGCATTGATTTTGTGCAGAGAATGAAAACACTATTCTTTTGTCCTCAATCATTTTGCAGACCCAGGTAGAAACCAGAGGCCTGAACAGGGAAGCAGACGCAGACTGGATGCAGAGATGTGTGGCTGATGTGAAGGAGAGGCAGGCAGGGCAGCTCTGGCATGCCTATGACAATGGGAGGCAAGCTTGCAGCTCAGCATAGGGTGAGGCCAATGATAATGATTCTACTATTGCCTCCAGCCTACCTTAGCTGGGCACAGAGCACAGGGCACAGGGGACCCTTGGGTGTGGTCATTCATTCACCAAAGATTGACCAAGGCCTCCCTTCCTTGAACCAGTCTCTGGACCTGGCAGGTGGACAATTGTTAGGTTGCATTGGTGGTCTCCTAAAATTTTGCACTGCCTGACTGATGGAGCATTCCAGAACCGTCCCCCTCTGTCCTCTACCAATACAATACAACCCAGGGCCATTGGCCCAGTAGCTGCTCGGAAGTGGCTTCATACTATTGCGAAGACACTAAGAGTTAAGGACATCAGTGACTTTCCCTAGGACACAGACTAAGTGATAGAGCCAGGTAGGGAGCCCAGATGACCTCAGTTCAGCACCTGCTCTCTCAAAAACTATGTAGTTCCATTTATGTTTACAATATACTAACTAAGACATTGGTTTGGGTCCCTCTGCATTTCACCCTGGTATCTTACCATCCTAGAGACTCGCCTTCCCCAGGTGGGGATAGGCTATATTACAATGATTTCAGTTCAGGTCTCTGAATGTCCTTGTACACACTTCTGTTCTTTAAAAAACTGGAGTGGAACAATTAGTACTCTGGACCAAAGACCGGCATGTGGACGAAGTCAATGGAATGTATCAGAAAGACACCTGGATTCATGTTCAGTGTAAAAACTTGACAACTGTGGTATGATGTTGGAGGACACTGGTAAACTGTCTTTCACTAGTTGTTCCTGTTTTCTTTTTCTTTCTAGAAGATATGGTTGACATCCCAGGCTACGTCTTCACCAGAGGAATGATCATAGCTGTTCTGATCTCAGTGGTGGTCGTGTGCCTAGTAATAATGGGCATCATTTATAGAGTTGACCTGGCCCTATTTTATAGAAATTTCATGGGAAAAGATGAAACATTAACAGGTAATGGATATCGTAATACTGGGATTTCTTTTCTTATGGCTTCATTAAGAAACCGAATAAAGAAACATTAATCTTCCTTTCATTTTGATTATATTGTTGTCTTACTGTGTGGGAGAGGTTTTCCACAGGAAAGACTGGTTTGAACAGATCATCCATCATGAACGTTGTCTCGTATCTTTTTTTGTGCTTACTTGTATGTTGCCAAAAATTATTTGCCAAGCAATTGTTAATTGTTTGATATATGTATGTCATGTCCTCCTAAATGCCCTGTGAGTTGCTTGTGGCTAGGGACTGTCATTATTCACACATGATCTGGACACCTTATATAATGTGCACATTCAATAAACTTCATTAAATAGAATTGAATTGTATTGTAGTTCATTATTTTAACCTGACAAAGTAGGTAGCCTTATGTATCTCTAAGAACCCTGAACTAGAAGCCAAATGACCTGGGTTCTAGCTTCCTATATCTGTGTTTTTCTCTATGGCTGTTTCTATCTGAGGACTCTATTATTCAATCTGATTTCTCTATTTTAAAGGTAATTTGAAGAAGTCCTCAAGTTTAAGATAATTACTGAATTGTGTCAACTATACTTAGGTAAAAAAAGATAATTCCTGAATTGAAACAAATCAGTCTAATCCATTGCACTTGCTCTGTGTGTGTGTGTGTGTGTGTGTGTGTAGGACACAGTTCAAAACACAGAAAGTCTAAGAGTAGAAAATCACCTGTTAGCCTTTCCCATGTCTCTGTTTCTCACATCATCTGTCACTGATAGTATATATATCTAAATAAATATGGATATGGGATCAAATTCCCCTCCTGTGCTAAAAACAAATCTTGGCCAATCATGTACACTCTTCTGAACTTCTTTGTTTTGCTATGCCTTGGATGCCCTTCCATAACAGTTTAGAAAGCCTCCTGTTAGAGTCGTACAGCATTTTATATCTGAAGATGTATCCCTGTTTGTTTGGTCACCTTTTGAGTTATTCACAACCTTTTGTTATTACAGAAATGATGTGACCCAGAGTTTTGTAGAGTTATCGTTTCATCTGTGTGCAGTGTAACTGAAGGAAAAACTTCCCAAAGTGGAATTGCTGGTGATATTGAAGGGTAGATACAGTTGTTCATTGGATAGGCATAGCAAATTTGATCTCCCTTCTATAGTACTCCTACCACCTTCAAAGAATGGGGGTTACTTTTTCTGCATGGCCTTACCCACAACCTTTTGGCTATATGCCAATCTGATAGGTAAAGTTATATCTCAGTGTAGTTTTCATTTGTATTTCACTTACTATGCAAGAGTGTAATTTTTCATTTTTTTAAGGCTCATTTGTATTTACATTCTCAAAGTACTCATTCATATCCTTTGCCACTTTTCTATTGTTTTTTTTTCCTCTTATTTATTTCTAAGAGCTATTTATATTTTAAGGAGGTTAACTATTATCTACACTATGAAGGTAGTAGAAAGTATAGACAAAAAACTTGGCCTTTTTTCCCTCTTGTTTATTTCTAAGAGCTATTTATGTTTTAAGGAGGTTAACTAACTATTGTCTATACTATGAAATGAAAATATTGTTCTTGGATTGTAGTTTGTCTTTTGATTTTGCTTATATTAGTGTAATATGTGGAAGATTGTTTTATTTTTCTTAAAGTATAACTGACACAGTGTTATATTAGTTTCAGGTACACATTTTTATCATTATGGAAGATTTTTTTAATGTACTCAAGTTTATCCTTTTATGGTTTCTAGATTTGTGGTCACAAGTAGAAAGATCTTGACCACAAGTTACAAAAGAAGTCTCATGTTTCTGTGGGATTTTTCTAGATTCATGATTCACATTTACAGCTTTTAGTTAATAATATCAAATTAACAAAGCCAATTAATTAAGCTTTGACCTTAATTATGTGTATGCAATTTTGGGGATGAAGAGAAACACTATAACTGAGAGGTCTATTTTTGGTACCTTTTTGAACAGGTTTCTACTTGCATGGACCTGAACATATCTCAAAATGGGCATTCGCTAATACCTTTCTGATCTTCAACAAAGATTTTTTTTTCCCCTCTCTGTTGTGTTTGACCCAATTCACAGATAATTTTTTTCAGTTCACACTTCCTGCTTCCCAGCATGGCAGTGCATAGAAACATTTACAGATGGGCTCTACATCAGCTCTATTTCAAGTATGACCTGTGACAGTGATAAGTCGTGAAAAAGCCAGAAATAGAGACATAAGTACAAAAACTAAAACTTTCATAGCAATTTGATATTGCTGCAATATCCAAGAATGTTTTCAGTATTAGTTTTTGAAGGACTGGAAATGAAAGAAACCAAACAACCCAAATCAGTCAAACTCAATGAAAGCATGGTCATTCGCCCAACACAGTTTGAGAAGCACTAGCCTGACTCCTTAAAGCCCCAAATATACATTCACATGAGGGTTTTGTTTATACAGAACCCAAAATAATTATTATTAGTTTCTAAATACCTTATCTTAAACACTTCACTTTGTCAGTTATCAAAGCCAGCAAGTCATTCAATTACGTGGGTTTAAAATAAATTGTAATATATATTACAAGATTTGCTAAACCAAAAAGAGAATTGCTTGAAATTGGGCATTTCAATGCAATCAATAGTTGAAAAACAATTTTTCATCTTTCATGGGTAAGAGTAAAGCTGTACTCCAACCCCTGTACCATCTAATCAATTATCATGGGACAGGGATAGACCATTCCCCTCCCACTTCCCCTTCTTCTTCTACCAATCCCAGTTAGCATCAATTGCGTCATTTAGGACCTGACTCAAAATTTCCTTTTCTCAGGAAGCAGGGCCCCTAGAGATCACTCTTTAGTCTCTGACCACATTGATTCTGCTTATTTTGCCTGTTTTGTTACACTGCCTCGCACTGCTAATGTGTTATTTGTAAACTTTTTCAAGTTGTTGCATTTGCTTGCTTTGTCTTCTGAGATAGGTTGGATGAAGGTAGAAGAAGGACATGTATATAATTTTGCAGTTTCCCAGTTAGTACGGTGGTCTTTGTTATTTAGGTAACACTTTCATCTTGACTTTGTCCCATTAGCCTTCTGAACATTGCTTTATGATTATCAGGAATTTAATAGGAGCCAGTGTTATTATTCATGAAAATCTTTCAATAGACCAGAAATTTTCATATTGGCATCTAGGACCATATTTACTTTTAAATATCACAGCACGTGTTGTGATAGCCCAGTGTTTAAATCACCTCTATTGTTTCTTCCTGCTTGCCAGTGTAAACGCTCTGCTTTGTTTCTGTCTTCGTTTTCCAGTGGGTCATTTTGAGTATAGACATATTAAGATGCTGGTAGGATTAGGTAATAAGAAAAAGCCGAGGTGAGATTTGCTTTCCATTCCTGGAACAAGGACATAGCTGGGCTCCTTGGCCTTTTGTTGCCTTTAAATTACTTTAATTCCTGGATTTATATCTTGTATTTCTCTCCATCACTCTATGGTGTCATACAGTGAGAATCTTAATCTACATGCTTAAAAAACAATTTGCTAATTGGTTGCTTGATTAGCATTTGAGGTTCATGGAGGCTATTTTTTTGTGTGTCTTTAATAATAATTGAATTTATTTCTTGTTTTTTGACAACTTAAAAAATCAGAGAGAGCAAATAATGCCTAAAAAGAATCATAGAACCAAAAAATATTTGATGAATTTTATGAGTTACCTAGTTTAAACATGTTTGTTTTGTTTTTTAATTGGTTTTCTGGCAAAAAAAAATATTTTCTGTATCCTTTTTTTGAATGGCTTCATTGAGCTCTAACTGATGTACAAGGAACTGCACATATTTAATGGGTACAATTTAACAAGTTTGGACATGAGGATACTCTGTTTAATCTTTTTCCTTTACGATGGTTCCTCTCCCATTTTTCACAACTTTCACTCAAATTTTATTTGCACTGTAATTAAAAGAGTAAACCTTATTTCCTAGATGGAAAAACATACGATGCTTTTGTGTCTTACCTGAAAGAATGTGGACCCGAGAATGGAGAGGAGCACACCTTTGCTGTGGAGATTCTGCCCGAGGTGTTGGAGAAACACTTTGGGTATAAATTATGCATATTTGAAAGGGATGTGGTACCTGGAGGAGGTAAGAAAGTAGTACCAGATAGAAAACCAGTGGGAAGATTTTCTTTTTAAAAGCTGAGTAGTGTTTATGAAAGGCAATCCTGTTTTGCTTAAAAACAAAGGAATAAACACGATCCTGTAAACCAGAAATAATCAGCTAAATCAATATAATATTTTATACAACAGAATTGATCCCTGACTTAACACATGACCCTCTGGACTATAAACATCATTCATTCTTACCAGAAAATACTCATTCTTTATTGGGTTGGCACTGGTGTGAAAATTATAGTAGCAGATAGGAGAGTTATAAAAGGGTAAATAAAGGGCGATTGGTGATTCATGTCGGATTTTAGTTATGCAGTTCAGTTTTTTTATTAGTATCTGAATACAAATGACCGTAAAACACATATTGAAGCAAATTCCAGTTCGAAGCCAAGAAATTAAGTAACATGTCTGTATTTTCTCTGAGGTCTTCCAGAGCAAGTATTTGAAATCTGGTGTCAGAATACCTTGGGTGCTGATGCATTACCAAGGATGCAATATAAGTATTTCTATTGCCACCATCACTCAGTCAGCCAACGTATACTCGTGGCAAATTCTGAGCTGGGCATTGAAGACATGGCAGTAAATAAGACACAGCTGTGTTTTCCCCCTCCTAGATTACAACTGAGAAAGGGAAAATACTACCAATTAGAAGGAGAAAACATACTATTTTTTCTTAAGATTTCATTTATTTATTTGACAGACAGAGATCACAAGTAGGCAGAGAGTGGGGGAAGCAGGCTCCCTGCTGAGCAGAGAGGCCAATTCAGGGCTCCATCCTAGGACACTGGGATCATGACCTGAGCCAAAGGCAGAGGCTTTAACCCACTGAGCCACCCAGGTGCCCCTACTTTTTAATAGATAGATAGATAGATAGATAGATAAAATAGGTTTGTTCTTAGTTTTCAAATGAAAATAAAGACTGTATGTATATTTAATTATAAAGAGCTTGGGTCAAAACCTCTATTGGAGAAGGGGTAGAGATCTAGCCCAGAAGTTGACAGTCGATCACCCATGGGTCAAATCCAGGCTATCAGCCTTGTTAAAACACAGCAAAGAGCTGTTCATGTGTGGTCTGCCAGCTGCCTTTGAGCTAAATAGCAGAGATGGGTAATATAAAACCAGAAACAGTCACTCTCTGGCCCTTTACAGAAAGTTTGCCAACTTCTGGTCCAGAATCGTGGTGGGATATATATATTTTTATCTTTAAATTCAGATTTCAGGGTGTTCCTCCCTGCCTGCCGAGAGGTGAGATAGCATCACAGGACTCCAGAAGCAGACCGCCTAGGTCCTGACTCTGACTCTAGAATTGGCTGACTATCGAATTCTGGTCTAGTTGCTTAACCATTCTGTACTTCGGCTTTTTCATTGGTAAAATGGTGGTGATAACGACACTGTCTTTGTAGGATCATTGTGATGCTGTAATGAGTTGATATACATAAAACATCTAGAAGAGGTTTTGGCACAGAGTAAGCGCCAAGTGTTCATTATTGCTGTTACCTGGATGATTGTTTTTAACAGTGTATAAAAATTGAGAATAAGTGGTTTGTCTTGAAAAACTTATTAGTGAAGTAGAGTTAAATAATACAAAATCAGACCTTCATCTCCTGTCTGCCTTTTTAGTTCTCTTTAATTACTATGCCACATCTTGCATTTTCAGCTGTTGTTGACGAAATCCACTCATTGATAGAAAAAAGTCGAAGACTGATCATTGTCCTAAGTAAAAGCTACATGTCTAATGAAGTCAGGTACGAACTTGAAAGCGGACTCCATGAAGCACTGGTAGAAAGGAAAATTAAAGTCATCTTAATTGAGTTTACACCTGTGAGAGACTTCATGTTCTTCCCCCAGTCACTACAGCTTTTGAAATCCCACCAAGTTCTGAAGTGGAATGCTGATAAACCTCCATCGTATAACTCAAGGTTCTGGAAAAATCTTCTTTATCTGATGCCTGCAAAAACGGTCAAGCCCTATGGAGCTGAATCTGAAGTCCTACCTGTTCTTTCACGGTCCTGAGCTTTAGGAAAGCTGAACATAAGAACTGTTGACGCTCTGGGCCCGGAGTGGATGGGCCTGTTTTTAACAAAGGCACTGTTAAAAATATTTACCTCTCTGAAAATCCTTCTTACGGTTCGAAGACGACAGTCGTCATTAGGTTGCCAGGGCTAAGACTGAACAATGAGCTGCGCTCATGTGCTCCTGGAGGAACCTGGAATTCCAAAGCAATGCATCTCCTCTTTCTCCCTCCTCGATAATTGGCTATAGGTGTTCATTCTCAATTCATGTTCAGGAACTGTGAGGCAGGGCATGAAGCAGAATACCTTAGGCCCTTATAAAGGGCCTGTCTCTATGTTTTGTTTTGTTTTTATTTCTTTTCAGCGTAACAGTATTCATGGTTTTTGCACCACACCCAGTGCTCCATGCAATCCGTGCCCTCTCTAATACCCACCACCTGGTTCCCCCAACCTCCCACCCCCGCCCCTTCAAAACCCTCAGATTGTTTTTCAGAGTCCATAGTCTCTCATGGTTCACCTCCCCTTCCAATTTCCCTCAACTCCCTTCTCCTCTCCATCTCCCCTTGTCCTCCATGCTATTTGTTATGCTCCACAACTAAGTGAAACCATATGATAATTGACTCTCTCTGCTTGACTTATTTCACTCAGCATAATCTCTTCCAGTCCTGTCTCTATGTTTTTAATGCTAACGCTTGAATTAAAGGATTGTAAGCATTTTCTAGGATCCGGTAGGTGACATAATAGCAGGAATGTTGCCTTTACTCTCCCACAGTGCAGCCTATAGCTAAGCACCAGGGATAGTGCCTGAGACATGGCAGAGAGCTGGTGGGGCTGTGTGCACTGGGGACCGAGGTGTGACAGGGCCTTAGCCTCAGGACACGTTTAATGTGTCCTGGCCACAGCTGCAGACCCACTGTTATCAGAACCCCCTGAAGCACTGCTCAGGGCTTGCTTATTTGGTCCTGTTTGGAGGAAACTTCCCCAAACTGTTTTATCTTTCATGAGAGGCACACATCTGAATTAAGATAATTCTCTGGGTTTTTCAAAAATGGTCTAAAACATTTGTTGATTTAACAAGAATGTTTATAGACCCGATGTCAGATCATCTCTTCCGTATTAGCCAATAGTCAGTATTATACATTAGCCACAGCAAACTAGGATAGTTACTGGCTTGATTTGTTAAAAACAAACAAACAAACAAACAAAACCCCTTTCAGGTGGAGGCACCATGGCATGGGGTTGAGCACAAGCCATGCAGTCAAGACACTTGAGCTCGAATCTTGGGCTTGCTACTCACTTTGGGGACCCCTGGAGCCTTTTGAACCAATCTGCTCCTCCAGTTCCTCATCTGTAAAGTTAGAATTTATAGTAACAGTACCTACTTCACAGGAGAACTAAATGAATAGATACAAATAAAGTACTTACAACAGTTTTTGTCACAGACTAAATAATCTATGTGTGACTATTACTGCTATTATTTTAATTGTTAATATTAATTGTTATTATTAATTGTTAGATGAGTTATTTAGTAGTGAACTAAGATTGAAGGCAGAGAGCAGGAAAGCCAAAGAGATCTGGAAGGAAGGCAGTTTTGACTTGAGGACATTTGTATATAAAGAGAAGCATATCAATACAGCGGAAGATATTTCTCCATTAGATGTGTGAAATTTTGACTTTGGCAGTCATGTGTCTGTCACCCTAAGGTGAGTCCAGCACTGTAGGCCTTCTTGGTGGGTTCAGTAGTCATGGCTGCCCAAATCACTGAGTGAGTGACAAATAGCCATCTTACACAGAAAGAAAAGGTTTAGTAAATCTGGAAGCCTGGATAGAATGTATGGGTGCAGAGTGAATGATCCAGAGAGTTTTAAAGCAGAGGTGGTTAAAAACAGCTCTAGTAGATATTGCTGAAAATTAACAAATTGAGATTTTACTAGATTTTTGATGTGAGAAACTGATTTACTTTTGTAGAGCTTAAAATTTTGTGTGCTACTTAGCTAAAAAAAGTAAAAGAATTTGATTAGTAACTGAATGTTTTTTGTGTGAAAACACATGGTCTAGAGAAAGACTGATTTTGCTCTTCTCTTTTATTGTGTGTGCTGTAAAATACATTAAGTGTATTTTGTATTGTGTGTTAAATACATATAATAAATATATGCTTTAGAAGACAGTAATGGGGCACCTGGGTGGCTCAGTGGGTTAGAGCCTCTTCCTTTGGCTTGGGTCATGATCCCAGGATCCTGGGATTAAGCCCCGCATCGGTCTCTGCTCAGCGGGGAGCCTGCTCCCCCCACCCCCTGCCTGCCTCTCTGCCTACTTGTGATCTCTGTCTGTCAAATAAGTAAATAAAATCTTTGAAAAAATAAAAAAATAAAAGTAATAAACCATTGGTCTAGTGGTCTTAATTTTGGAATGCCTCTTGATAACCTTTTTCACTCACATGAAGATTCCACTTCCTCATTCTCTATATTCCCACCTGTTTTAATAAGATACGGGTCATCCAAAATGGACTCCTACATCTATCTTCTTCTGCCTTTTTTAATGTCAAATTAAATTGTACCTACGTTCTTTGTTGTACCTTCCTTCCCGAGCAAAAGGAGAATTCCCTTCTCCAAAGCTATGAAGACACTCAATACACAGCACGAGTATTAGCTCTGCACATGCCAGTTAATTCATGTGCATATGTTTAAGTGAAAACACTTTCAACTACAACCAATAAACAACTGTTATTGATAGAATAATGGCATTCTTTTCTGGGGATACAGGTGTCCTTAAACTGTGGGGGCCATTTCAGAGAATCCATCAACAGCCAGCCAGTACATCTCTGTTATGTACTGGAAACATTTATTAAAATAAAGTTATATTCCCTTAAAGCAAAGAGAGAGCTTATTAGCCACATAGTCCAAACCCAGGAGGCTGAAACGCGCTAAGTACAGGGAGTTGGCCCAGGTCACACCACTGGCTAGTGTGGCAGCTGGGGGCAGAGAGAGGTGTTGTCTCTTCTCTTTGGAGTTGCCTGTTGGGACAGTGAGTCTTTTTTTTTTTTTTTAATTAACATATAATGTATTATGTGCTTTAGGGGTACAGGTCTGTGGATCATCAGTCTTACACTATTCACAGCACACACCATAGCACATACCCTCCCCAGTGTCCATCACCCAACCACCCCATCCCTTCCCTCCCCTCCAGCAACCCTCAGTTTATTTCCTGAGATTAAGAGTCTCTTATGGTTTGTCTCCCTCCCTGGTCCCATCATGTTTCATTTTTTCCCCCCTCCCTTCCCTCCATAACCCTCACCCTGCTTCTCAAATTCCTCATATCAGAGAAAGCATATGATATTTGTCTTTCTCTGATAGAATTATTTTGTTTAACATAATGCCCTCAGTTTCAATCCACATCATTGCAAATGGCAAGATTTTCATTTTTTGATGGCTGCATAATATTCCATTACACACACACACACACACACACACACCCCTACACACACCACTTCTTTATCCATTCATCTGTTGATGGTCATCTAGATTCTTTCCGTAGTTTGGTTATTGTAAACATTGCTGCTATAAACATGCCCCTTCAGATCACTACATTTGTATCTTTAGGGTAAATACCCGATAGTGCAATTGCTGGGTCATAGGTGCTCTATTTTCAACTTTTTGAGGAACCTTCATACTGTTTTCCAGAGTGGCTATATCAGCTTGCATTCCCACCAGCAGTGTAGGAGGATTCCCCTTTCTCTGCATCCTTGCCAATACCTATCATTTCCTGACTGGTTAATTTTAGCCATTCTGGCTGGTGTGAGGTGGCATCACACTGTGGTTTTGATTTGTATTTCCCTGATGCTGAGTGATGTGGAGCACTTTTTCATGTGTCTGTTAGCTATCTGGATGTCTTCTTTGCAGAAATGTCTGTTCATGTCTCCTGCCCGTTTCTTGATTGGATTCTTTGTTCTTTGGGTGTTGAGTTTGATGAGTTCTTTATAGACTTTGGATACTAGCCCTTTATCTGTTATGTCATTTGCAAATATCTTCTCCCATTCTGTCCATTGTCAGTCTTCTGTATCACTAATTCTCTCTTCTGCCTCATTTATCCTAGCAGTAAGAGCCTCCATTTTTTATTTCATCTCATTAATAGCTTTTTTGATTTCAGCTTGGTTAGATTTTTGTTCTGTTAATTCTCCAGAAAGGGCTTTTATTTCTCCAGAAAGGGATTCTCTAGTCTCTTCCATGCTTTTTTCGAGCCCAGCAAGCACCTTGATAATCATTCTGAACTCTAGTTTGGACATCTTACTAATGTCCATATTGATTAGGTCCCTAGCCATCGGTACTGCCTCTTGTTCTTTTTTTTTTTTTTTTTTGAGGTGAGTTTTTTTGCCTTGTCATTTTATCCAGATAAGAACTGATGACTGAGATAACAAAATACTAAAAGAGTTGCAATGTCCCCAGCAAAATATACACTAACCAAATCAGAAGAGATATGAAATCAGGGGGAGAAGAAAAAATAAAAATTAAAAAAAAAAAAAAAATATATATATATATATATATATATATATATATATTAGACTGGTGAACAGAAAAGAGCCACACACTTGATTTTGGGTGTATTTTGGTCTGTTAGAAGAAACTCCCTCCCAGAATTTTAAAGAAAAAAAAACATTATATATATATATGTATATATATATATATATATATATATATATATATACACACACACGTACATATACATGTATATGTACATATTACCCATATATATATAGATATATATATATGGGTAAACCCAATGAAGAGATGGAATATGGTTGTAAAGATGAAAATTGAAAAAGGAGTTGATAAGAAGTTGGTTGAAAAAGAGAAAAAGAGGAAAGAATGTGATCAGGTTGGAGACTAGAACAAAGCCATGCACTAGATTTAGGGTGTATTTTGATCTGTTAGAAGAAACTGTACCCAAAATTTTAAAGAACGAAAAACCTATACGTATACAAAAAATAAGGTTAAATACAATGAAAGGATAGAATATGACTATAACAATGAAAATTTA